GTACCGAAGAAATATTTTGATAATTTAAAGAATTATTTGCCTCGGAATGATTATCTGAGAACGAAATGTATGTCAACAATATATATTTGTTTCATTCAACTAATTCTTTGTCTCGGGGTGAATTTACTCGCTCTTTACGTGCCGTCTATCCTTCTCCCATATTTTTTGTTTCACTCCGCCGGCTCGATGTTGGGAAATTCGATGCAGGGAGATTAATCCTTTTTTATTCATTCTTTCCACGAAGCAACGCATCGCCCGCGGCAAAGAGGTTGCAATTTAGGGATGATAACTTGGTATCTTTGCAGAATGAGGGGGGAGGTTATTCCGGAATACGGAAATTGTTTGATGGCTCTGGGAACGTACGTATCGCTATCAATATGATAACGCTCACGAGGATTGACGGCGTTTGAAGGGATATTACGGAAGGATGAAAGCTCGTTCTATGGAACCCTCTTCCCGATGCAATTCGAGAAACGTTCAGCTCGCGTCGGACGGTTGGCGTTTGCTGTTCGCAATAAGATGGGCGGTTCGTTTGTTTCGGTAATTGGGAGAAGTGCTGGCTTTTTTGGGGATGTGCCAGGACTTGGGTGGAAAAGGATCTCGGCAAGGACCTCTTCAGGCCGAGTCGAAAAGAGCGGTCGGTTAACTCGCGCCGAGGACTCTTCTTGGGGGGGCACGCGTTATGCCTGAGTTATTGTAATCGTCGAAGACGGTCTTGGCAGAGCACGAGACGATCTATGGCCTTCTCGTAGACCTTGAAGAGTGGGCCGCCGCCGAGCCGGAGGAGCTCGCCAGGGCGCCCCAGGAACGTGGACGCCATTTTTCACGTCCGACGGCCTCCGGGATTGCGTGCGACTGCGCGAGGAATTATGCATGCTGCTATGCGCTCAGGGTGGCGTGAAACGCGAGAAATTTCATCGATATGAATTATCGGTTGCAGAATTCATGTAACCGGCGTGTCTTTTAAACTGCGAATATACATTAAATCATTGTGTAACAGTCATTTAGTCATCATTTTTCCACCGTGTTTCACGCGATCCGACACTCTTCCGGCATAGGCTGGACTTGTTCCTTAGGAGGGCTTGCACCCTTTACGTTCCTTTTATGTACATAATTTTTTTCGCACCTGCCGTCACTTCACCCCAACGAGGAAGATTCTTCCCTTCAAATTAGTCTATCGAACGAGCCCGTACCCGCCATACACACGAGGAAGCCATTCATGACCGCCAGTGTACCCTACCGCTGGAGTACATGAAGAAGTATATATATTACCCACTGAGGAGGGTCATCCATCCGGCCGAACTAAGGAGCGGGCGGGAATAGGGACGCGGGCCTAGCGCCACGCCGCGCCGACCCGAAACGTGAGGCGACTGCCTCCCGGGTTCCGCCCGCCTCCCTTGCCAGCGGAATAAAACCGTCAACTTTCGGCCTGCGAGGCAATTTCCACGAGTGTGGGCTCCGCTCCTCTCTCGAAGGAGCAAAGGAGGGCGGAAGGGCGCCTCTCAATTTCACGAGACGTCGAATCGTAACGAAACCGTAACGAAACCCCGACGTCCGCCTCGATAAATCCGATAGGCGCTCGAACGTTAGGTTAGGTTAGGGTAGATTCGTTAATCGGGGGTTTAACGTCCCGAGGCGTGGTAAGGCATTACTCTTGGCTAACGGGCCGTGTTGCGACCCTATTAGCAATATATTTTCCGCGCTCCGCAGAGCCTTGCGGCCGATCCGCCCGGTTCCGTCGCTCGATCGCGTTTACACGGTGTCGCTGAAAGGGCCCGGACGCCGGCGGTCGCTTTTTATCCGCCCACCCGGCACTTCCTTCCGCCCACCCCGCCCGCCACCTGCGACCTGTCGCTGAAGATCGAGGGGGCTAGTCGAGCAAAAAAGGGGGCCATTTACGACTCCCTTAACGTGGCTTATCTAGAAATCGGCGACACTCCTCCGCCTCTCGGAAAATCATCCTAGCCTGGCTATTGTTCCCCAAAGATGGGACAGGACCTCTTCCCCATTGTCCTAGGAGGGGCTGGGGATATCCCCGTATCCTACACCTGCAACTGCAGTAACCGAGAGGACTCGTGGGGTCCATGGGGGAGATCAACCCCTCTTAACACGATCTGACGTCTCGAGTTCCCTCGATTTTTTATTAGAAAAAGTGATATTAAAATCGCTACTCGTAATTATTTTTCATTTTCCGGTATGAAAAAAATAATAAAGAATAATTTAGAGTCAAAAGTTGCATTTTCGTGCGTACTGGCCGGGCTCTGATTTTCCTTTAATGGAGGTTTTACCGTGCTCTATACAAGGGGTGGGTAATATATGTACGCGTACGGATGGCGCATAATTGAATTTATTTGAAAACGAATCCGAGTCTTTTAATTGGTATCCCGTCCCGGCATTGCGCGCGAATAACATTTCCCTAGGTTCGTTTAGTCATTTTCTCTGGGTTCGATTAACGAGCTTGTTTCGAATGCCAGTTGCAACGCAAAGTGCACTTGGCCGGATTAATTATTTCGGTGCTTTAACGGGAGGGGTGTAAAAAATGCACGCCGGGGAGTGAATACGCCCGTGACGGTAACGATAGGTGTAACCGAGGTCTTGCAGGACTCGCATTCTCTATGGGGGGCTATTATTCCGTATTACGCCGTGAATCAATTATCCGACAATGACAATACGTATCGCGCGAGAGCATCCTCGTTCAATTCTCCTTTAATCGTAACTCCGTTTTAATGAATGGAACGATGCGCCGCTCGTATTACACGGCAGGGCCGTTGTGGCGATAACGACTGCGCGTGTTCCCCGAAACAAGGGATGCCATTCCCTGCAAACGACCCGGACGATGCACACCCTCCACCGGGACGGCAGTGTCGAATTACCGGAATTACACTCGCCGTTAAGGAAGCAACGGTTCAGAAAAATTAACCGACCTCGATTTCCCGAACGGGCCCTTCGACGGGTCGCCCTTCGCTATGCAACCCCTTTTCAATATCGTCCGGCACGACGTAAACGAATACGTGACCGGCTTTAACGTGGAAATACTTACCTCGAAGGGCTTTCGCCCTTTAACGCTGAGACTTAAGCCAGGACACGAGGGGGATGAGAGATGGTGCCCTCTGCACAAATTTTCTGGAGAGAAAGAGAGGGTCTTTTCGTGCGATCCTGCTTTTATGAAAAACTGATATGGAGGGTACTAAGATTGATAATCGGTTGCTTTCGGTATTCAGGAAACGCTTGGAAAATGTACGAGTTAGAAAATTCGTGAAAATGCATGAAAATGCCGGAAACCCCTCGAAGATGTGCGAAAACGTTTAAAACGCGAGAAAATTCGAGAAAAAAGGAACAGGAACGGGGTGGAGTGCCTTAAGGTAGGTCGGGGCTAGGGAGTCATGTAGATACGCGTACATGCCCGACATGAGTTACAAGGGATGATTTGCAGAGCGCGAGTGCATGTGCATCGCGTCCCTGCCAGAAGGTGCGTTATGAGCGCAAGTCTGGTTCCTCGCAATTCCGCATAGGAGGTAACGTATGTCCTGCATGCAACTTTGGTACCGCAGGCCAGTTTCCGGGCAATTCGTTGAATCGACTTCTGCGCGACGTCGGATTGCGTTATGGAAAAAAAAAAAAAGAAAAAAAACGGGGGAGGAGGGGAAAAGTGCATGCATAAACGATCATGCACCCGGAGTTGCGGCGGAGGCTAGTTTCCGGGAATCTTGGCGGAGTTTTCTCCGAATTCTCGGGGAAATTTTCGCGCTAACTTGAGTAAGGAAACTCGACGCGGTCGTTTACGGGGGCAAGTACCCCCGCAAGCCCCCGAGAACCTGAAGATGCATTTCGAGGGGGTAAAACAGACCCCAAATGCGTTTTGCACGGGTGCACCGAGCACGTAGGGGGTTCAGCTCCATGTTTTGTCGGGGGCGACCTCATGACCTCCGGATTACCCCGCGGGGGAGGTTGCCCCCGGAGTTCGTCCGAGGCTTCTTCCCCGGTTGACCCGTAATGGCCGACCGGATGTGGACAGTGATATCCTCCTAGAGGGAGTTCTTGTCCCTTGAGGAACAGTCTTGAGCTCACTGGGGGTAGTTTTGCCCGGATCTTCCTGCAACTAATTGAAAGGCCTCTGACGGCTGTCAGGTGGTTGGATGTTCGCAATCAGTCACCCCTAACCCAGAGCCTAGAAACATAAAAATTAGGGGAAAATAATTAAAATCCCGAGAAAGAAGAATTCATCGAACCAAGGAAAAAAATCTTTGAGTAGTCTCAACCAAATGTGTTAATAATTCAAAGAATAATTATTTGACTCGAATGAACTCGAACAAATTGGATGCAACGTTTCTTCGGAACTGCGACGATTTATTTGAATTTATTTGGGTCTAATCATTATTCTCTGAATGAAGAAAATATTTCTTTGGTAATATTCAAAGTAATTTCGTTTCCCAGTGTACCCGCTCGGTATTCAGCCATACTTTGAATGGATTTCACGTTTTATGGGGAGCGATCAATACCGATCGATTTTGGGTACCCAACTGATTATTATCCGGAACAATTATTAAGGGGAGATCAATTCATATTGACATGAGTGGGCAATTCCGCTCTGCGGCGAACGAATATGGCAATCAGGGCACCGATGACTGTCCATTGACAGTCGAAACTACCCTCGAGGGGACCCGTCAATGGTATCTCGTAAATGAGGTTGCCAATTGTTGCTAGGTGCCTCTTGGTCGTCGAATGCCAATTCGCAGATGAAATGTCAACCTCTCCGAAATCAGTCGTTTCACGTTATTATCGACTGCTTATTATTTTAATTTTATCGCGATTATGTCGCTTTCTCGTCGGGGGGGATTTTCGACAACGGAGATAGTGGCGACGTTGTTGTCGATATATGCTAATTCCGGGCCTCTTGGGGAAGTGGTGCTTCCGAAGCTGATGGCGCTATCTCGTCGACTTTAACTTTAGGTGCACTCTCTCTATGATAACACGCCCTGATCGACTTGTTTCGTTTACAGTGCCGCCGTCGAAGCCGATAATCTACGACGCGAAAAGGCGCGACATGAGCAAGCTGGTGGAGGCGTATCCAGAGGGCGCCAACCTCACCCTGGTCTGCGAGGTGCATGGAGGTAAGGTTGGCAAACTCTTCTCCGATTTTGCGGGTCGATAAACGATAATAGTGTACAGATATTCGAGGAATATCAAAGAAAAAGTGCCCTCGAGACGCGTGGAATTTTCCAGCGATGGAATATGAAAGGATCGGGAAAACTGGATAAGCTATCAAAGGATTGATAGAAACAAAAATAGCGGGTTGTCCAGAAAGTTACAGCAGGATAAAACTAAGGCTGCAGTTTAAAATGGTATACAACACGGACGTAAAAAAAAAAACGAATTCATTTAAAAAGCAAATGTCTTATCTTAACCAATGAACATCACAATAACTTTCTAGGTAGCTTAGTGTTGCTTCCTTCGGGCCATTTCTTCCAGCTGTCAAAATGACACTGGGCTTGTGATCATTAAAATACACGAAAATACACGAATCAATGAAAATGAATAGAAAAAGTATCGAGAAATAAATTTTGATTTGTTTTACTCGAGTCAGGAAATACCGCTTCAGCTAGACAACTTTCTGGACAACCTAATGTTGCTTCACTGTTTTTCTGCGCTGTAGAAATAAAATGACGGGCTTGTAATAACTAAAGTATACGAAAATCTGTGAACAAACGAAAATCAAAAGGAAAAGTATCGTGATGAAACGTCTATTTGAGTAACGTGAGAACGAATCCAACGGAAATTCCATCCAGGAAGCGCCGCCTTAAATAGGAATATTTTCCGCTGGACCATTTTTCGAGCTCTGAAAATGAACCTATGGGCCTGTGACAACTAAAATGGACGAAAATACACGAATCAACAGAAATGAAAGGAAAAAGTATCGCGAACAAATATCTATTTGAGGGACGTGAGGACAAAGCCAGGGGAAATTCGAGCCCCCGTTAACGTTAGTTCCACCGCCCCCACCCCCACCCAGCCACCCTCCGTTTTTCCGCGCGCCATCGAGCGCGTCGAAGCGAAGCTCGATCGGGTTCTTTTTTCGCCTCTTCTTCGTGTCTTTTTTCCCCGAGGCTCGACGAAGCCAAACCAAACCGGATAAACGATCACCCTCCCTCGACTGGCGATACACTCCCGCGGTACATCCACCCTCCGGCGAGGCTCGCACAATTTTCGTCTGTTGCCCCCCTCGCGCCTCCACACACCCCCGAGAATATCGGCCGACGTGAAATACGGCTACTCCGGGGGATTAGTTAATTGATCCGGAGTAATACGCGAAACGGCCGCACCCCCTGGGCGAAAACGAGATTATACTAAGTGGCCATATGTTATCGTCGGAAAAAAAAGGAACGCAATGGGAGATGAACATCCAACATCCGTCAGCATCCCTCGATACCTCTAAAAGACCGTCAATTGTTCGATTATTTATTTCCCCCGAGGGAATAAAGAGGACATGCATTTCGGAGAGTCTCTTTTCGTGAATTTTCGCGGAATGAGCAAATGCGGCAAAAAAACAATCGAACTCTGCTGGAGCGTCCACGCATCGTCCTCGGTTAAGTCTGCAGAGTTCGATTTGCACGGATTTATCGCAACGATATGTCGTTCCGGCGTGTCCACCTTAAGAGCTGGAAATAATTACGAATCGTTACGAAGGATCTCGCGGTCTCGGCTAACGAAGGGAAGTTTCAAGCCCGGACGCGAGGTTTGTCAAGCCCTAACAAATAATTAGGTAGACGGCGTAATTTCTCACGTGGGGGGAATTTCGTCTCGGAGACGGTGTACGGGAATCGTTTTGACGTTATTAAAATTTCCCAAAGGCAGGAATAATGCCACCGGGTGCTCCCGACGTCGTAGGGAGTAAATACAAATATTCCCCCCTCGGGAAAATGCGGATCAAAGGGGCCGCACAAAGCTCGACGTCGAGACGCCATGCAACGGGGTAAGGAGCTTCGGCCTCGACGGAGAGCCTTATTTATGGAGTGCTTAACAATCGAAGAAATGCCGTCCTAGGATCCTTGAGAATTCTTCGAAGGATCCTCCGCCATCGGGGAGAAAAACGGCTCGCGGAAGTAGGATCAAATTGGCATAAGTCCAGAGAATTCAGCGCGCGGCGCAACGTTTCGCGCCGCGGCGGCGAGTAAAAACGGCTGAGAAGGAGTCCTCGAGTGCGAGAGCGGTCTCTAAATGGAATTGGCGCCTCTCCAAAGAATCCGGACGGTGCCGGGGAAATGGGATTTTTCATGGAAAAAAAAACGCGAAATTCCCTCAAAAAACGCCGCCGTCGACTGAGGCTGCGCCTCCACTCGCGGCGTCCGGTGGGCCGGAAGCCGATTACCCGAAGCCGATAAAGAAAGTCTGCGTGTATATATATATTCCACTCTACAAGAACGATTAATTTAAAAAGATATACCTAATAAAAAAGACGACCTCTTGCTCGGAGAGCTTCTGCGCGAAGATAAAAAAGAAATTCAACGATCCAATGAAATATTTTCTTGATTCACGTTAATTATTATTTTTCTCTAATAAACTCGATTCCGAAGATACGTTGCACCTAATTCATCCGAGTCAGATAATTGTTCTTTGAATCGACGAAATATTTCTTTAGTTCAATGACAGTTTTTTCCCAGGGTGGAACCACGTTGAAAGAGAATCCGGGAAGAGAAGAACCTCTGGGACTTTTCGATATTTCTTTTTCGCTTTTTTCTGTGAGATAAACGGAGACAGAGGAAAGAATAGTTTCTCAAAGAGTCTCGTGGAAGGGGTAGAGAAGAAAGATTGGAGACGATAACCCAGATGCTCCTGATTTCGGGGGGGGGGGGTTTCTTAGCCGCAAGCTCGAATCGAAGTTGACGGGGTCTTCCTGAGACCGCTGAATGCGGAAGATTTCCGCGGGTCGGCAGTTTCGAGTCCAAACAAGGCGGAACTTTGAATTTCCCGCTGAATACGAAATATACCGCGAGGCGGCACGACGGGGCCGGCGATTTTCCGCCGCCTCGGGGAAAATGCGGACTCGGCTGGAAGTTTCGCCGGAGTGCCGCCGCTTTTTCCGGCATCTTCTTCGGCGTTTTTCTCCCCGCCCGTTCGGTCGCTCCTCAGCCTCGTTTGCACTAAACGAACTAAAGCTACTCAGGGTATGCGCGTACTTACTCCGAAATCGTCCCACCTGCAGGTGGATTCCCAAGAGAAATCGTTTAAATGCAAATGCACTGACCTCTCCAAGAAAAGAGTAAAACCTGCAAAATTTCTGCAAAAGTGCAGTCCAACTCGTTATCGTCCATCCCTTAGTCCAAGTGGCATTCTCAACTCTGAAACATTAATAAGGAATGTGAATAATTAACAGAAGAAAAATGAAATGACGCTTTATACATATAGAATGACCCTTTCATGTCACCTTAATTCTAAAGTGTAAGTAGGGCGTTTAAATATTTTCATTTAAAATAGAGGAAAGAACGGTGTTTCACTTAAAAGTGCAACATTCCTTGAAAGTCATGCTCTAGTCGCGGAAAATAGGGAAGTGATGCGCTTTTTTCCGCTTTTCGCCTTCCTTCGGGGGAAAATCTCCCCGAGAAACCGACTACGCCGCTGTTTGCGGTAACGGGCGTGTATCGCGGCTACGTGGCTGCGTTATATTTACCAATCTGTACCATTAACCGGGAGCTCTTACTTCTCGCTGACGTTGCACCTGCACCTCGATAAGCCATTACGCGGAGGCCGGCGCGGCACTACCGCGCAACTGCACGACTCTCGCGAATCGTAAACCGAGACCGGCATAGAAATTAACTGCCCCTAACCCCTTCCAGGGCGGCGCTCGTTAAACCACTTGCGGGGTTCATTGGTCGTCCTCGTAACAAACGACATCGGAAAACTTACGGACGTTTCGATGGCGAGGGCCCTCGATTTACTAGGAATTAAATAGCGCCCCGTACGACGTCCACGGGAATAACAATCGTAAACGGAACCGAGTTGGCCGATCTAAAAAGATCGGAAACTTATTTTCACTCATTTCAAAGCTCCACCCCCTGCATTGGCCTCTCGGAAAACATTTGTCAGATTCTGGAGATGAAAAAATATAGCCTTTCCGGAACCTTCCAGTCTACCCGGTTCATTTTAACAAACTTCATTAAATTTCGACAGTTTGTGAAAATCCAGACGGCGAAAGGGATTTTGTTTTTTTAAAAGCTTAAGGGGATGCGAATGTGGCGTCAATGAGGTCTCGTTTGTCAAACTTCTTCTCCAAAGTGGGTGTACCGAATCACTTTTGAACTTTGCAACGTGGATATGGAGACACTAAAGAAGATCCCGACAGCCACGAAGTTTAATTAAAGAATAAAAATTTGTTTATGGACGTTTTTAAATTTTTATTATGAGAGATAAAATTTCATGGGTATCAGGGCCTTCCTTAAAGCCCCTTGTTCAGATGGTGAAGGCTGAAACGATTCGATATATCGAGTTCACAGAAAAATTTCCCGAACAATTGACCCTTCAGATGCGACTTTCACATCCCCTTAAATACATTGATCAGTTAATAAACAAATTACCAAATAATTTGTAAAAAATATCCGGTAAAACTAAATGTTACCCCAAAATACACGAACCGTGGTGTTATGCATTTTCCACTTGCAAGGATTTCGCGAAACCGAACGGAGGCCTCTATAAGGTAAAGGGCTCATCTCGGAATAATTTCCCCCGATGCAAATTCTAAGCGCATCGTCGCGCTAATTACTAATTACGAGGGCGACACCGCGTTACGGGGTCGTAACGAGGGGCCGACGTCGAGGTCGACGGAAGAGAGCGAAGTACCGAAAGAACGTCGGAGGGAAGTTGCCCCGCAAAAAGGGGGCGGAAGGAGGGGGAGGGAGGTCGGACAGGGGGTGGACAGAGACGCGCAGTGACATTCCGGTCGCAGCTGGGTTTATTATACCAGCTTCCATATGCAAAGTAAAAGTTTGCCCGACAGTGGGTGGGGTAGTGGGAGGGGATGGGGAGGGGTGGCGGTCCGGTTTAATTTATTTTATTGTCGCATAAAATCCAGCGAAACGTACCGTCCCTGCATACATAACCTCAACCCCGTAGGGGTAGGCGCAATATTATCGCCCCCTCCATCCACCCCCCGAGGACACGTTTTAAACTGCCCCCAGGACTCGCGGGGGGTCGAGGGGTGCGTTATATTGTCGCTACACCGGCCGACGTGTTCCTCCGACGCCATTGTCGGGCTCGACGCAATTTCAACCCTTGATAGTACGTTTCGATGATGATAACGCATGGCCAAGGGGTGTCGGGTCGAAAAGTCGCCCCCAACTTCGTTTGCAACTGTGGCCTACAATTTCACGGGAACGGCGTGGGCGTGCCCCTGGGGTGGCCCCCCCATGGGATGAAAATGGAGGAACAAATGCAATTCCAGGGCAGTCCGGTGGAGATGAACCCCTGGGCATTGAATTCAATAGATAAGGTGTTATTACAGGGTCAAACAGAGAGGGGTAGGACTTGGTCCAATATCCGCGCGGCCCACCCTTGTTTGTCCTGGATGTAGAAATATTTAGAAACTAGGGGACTTCCGGCGCATCTCCGAGGCATCGCCATCGAAAGCTTGTCACCAGGACGTTGGCATCCCTGGGGTGCGTTTCGAACGCCACGTAATCCGCGACGAGCAGCGGGGATCCCAACGCGAATTAATCCGGGAAGCGACTCAGTCCGCTGCAGACGACAGCTGACACGCTGCCAGGAGACGGACGGACGCGTCGCGCCTCCGCCAACAGTTGCATATCCTGGCGCATCCTTGGAAACCCTAAAAAATGACCACCCACTGAGAACCTAATTGAAGTCAGGCAAAGATGACATTTCGCCAATTTCGACCGTCAGAGAGTATCGAGATCGTTTTTCACCCGCAGAGAAATATTCGGTTTAATCAATGCAATGAAAATTTAACTTAACCATAAAATATAGTTGTCACATCCCCTATCAAATTCTTGGTTGACGTGACAGAGTCCATTGGTTAATAACTTTGAGTTGATTGCGTAAAATATTTTGGCGGATCGCACGAGGAATCGAAGTAATTTCATAAATATCAAACTAATGCTATTAACTAATATATTTTCTAAAATTAACAAGTCGACTTAATCTAAGCACTTTGGTCGGTTTGATCTACCTAATTTGGCCAAGTGAACTACAATTCGGCTCACTCGATCGAAACGTTATCTGAATTGAACCGAGTGTAGTCAATCAAACGATTCCGTTCCGTGAACCATATCCGTGAAATAAATTCTTTTTTTCTCTGTGCACGGATCGAGAAATTCCAGGGCAATTGTACAAACTGCAGGTTCTTGAAGAACAAATGGGAGAACGGATGAAACTTTCCGTAATGCCTCGAGGATGTACAGGTGTCTTTAAATGGAGGAAGAGAAAAGAAAACGCAGGAATTCCGTACAAATCCGTTTCAACGCGTTATGAGCGGCATGCAGGGAAAATGGTTTCTTCGCGGGGGGGGCGAAATTCGAGCAATTTCGCGGCGGGGCCGCGTTACGGGGAGATATACGCTCCGGTCCCTTCCGCAGCGTTTTCTCAGCGCGTCCTGAACAGGACCTGTGATGTAGAGCACGCGGCTGTCGTGAATCCTGGTCCTTATTGTCGACGGTGTCTGCAGGGATGGAAAGTCAGAAGAGAGCAAACTTCACCCCCCCCCCTGCCCCTGGAGGGAGGCGCAGGTAGGACACGCATTGCGTATCACGTCCCACCTGTGAGAGAAGGATTACGAGGATATATGTACATATATGTATAAATATATATTAAATAAAGAGAGAGAGGGAGAAAATTTGACGGGTACTACCCTTTACTGGGGTGAGACGCCCCCAGGTGAATTTATCTGCGAGCTGTATTGAATCTACCTGGCAAGGTGAAACGCTTTTGGCCGAATTTTCCCACTTTTATGGCACGTCCAGAAATGGACCTGATGTGGAGCACGTGAGTGTCATGCTTATTAAATATATTAAATAAAAAGGGATAGAAAGTTGGACTAAATTTGACCCTTTTTCTCGGGGTGAGTCGCCCCCAGGTGAATTTACCTGCGAGCTGTATTGACTGCACCCGGCATCGTGGGGCTTTATTCGGGCGAATTTCCATACGTTACGTGCACACGTGTACATGTATGTACATGCTCGAACAAACTCGCCCCATAATACCGGAAAGAAGGGGCTCCTTGGCGCTCGCCGAGGATCTTATCCGGGGTGCACGACCCCGAGGTCTCGATCTTATTAGTGCAATGAACTCATGCAAATGTCCTCCTGCAAGCCAACTCGGCGGACCGAAGGAGCCGCTTGCCGTTAAGGACCTTCTGCCCGAGGAGATAGGAGCCGTCGAAAAAATTAAGGGGACCCCTGACCTCAGACAACGAGAACTGCTCGGGGTGCAAGGGGTCCGACGCATCGCGGTGCATCGGCTCTGACAACCGCGTGTGCAATCAGACCGACGATGTCTCACTCGGTGACGTTACATCGCGATACAATCGCCATTGTTCAGTGACGAATAAGGTCGTGATCGATGACACGAGGGGGGAATTTCCGGCTGCGGTTCTCCGGTAATTAGACCCATCTAGGAGGCACTCGGTAGACGGTGCAGTCCGGTAATTGCATTTTCGTTGGATGCGACAGGTAGACCCAGGCCGAAGGTCGAGTGGTACTTGGAGAACCAGCTCATAGACTCGAGCTACGAGGCGAAGGAGAGCCCCAGCCCTGCTGGGAAGGACGGCCTGGTGACCATCAACCACCTGACCATGGGGGGGCTGACCAGGACCCATCACAACTCCAGGCTCTCCTGCAAGGCCAGAAACACCCATCTCGCCCCACCACCCACCACCGCCATCATCATCGTCATCAACAGTGAGTCGAAAAGAAAATAATTCAATTGTTCTCGCCTACCTTTTGTCGATCTCGCGTCTCGACTCGAAAAGGCCATTGTTTTTACCTTTTCATTTTCCCCGAAAATCTCTACCAGATATACCAGGAAAACTTTTACAACGCTATTCCGAGTACGGCCCAATTCGACGTTTCGAAAATACCGGATGAGATTTTGTTTATTCGGTTTCCGGTGTACCGCCCGGAAAGCGGGAGAACATTTTCGTTCCGGCCCTCCGTCCGGGGACACAATGTGCCACGCGGCACAGCAATTTTTCGCATACGCGATTTCGGCCGCGGAAAAATAGTGCGTCGTTATTTCCCCCGGTCGAGATTGAAGCTGGCGAAAGTGCCGACTCGATCCGACCGGGTAAGGCGATAAATAATCCCGAATTCCGACACCGTCGAGATGTCCCCTTTTTCTTCCCCTTTTTATTGATGTCTAAGGCAATGAAAAAGTGGCGTCAATGAGCTCTCGTTTATGAAACTTTTCTACATACTGGGTGTACCGAATCATTAAAAACATTACAGCGTGAATGCAGAGATTATAAGGTGGGCCCTCACACTCGTGAAATTTCAATTTTTCTACAGAAATTTCTTTTTTTTTCCGTTTTTCACTGAAATTAATGCAACAATTTCTCTTTTCTTGACATGAAACATGAAGTCTCGCGAGTTTCAAGACCTTCAATAGAACCTCCATAATCACGTATTGATGTTTTAAATTATTCGGTATATATATACACTTTAATAACACCTTAATGCGTAATACGCGGCGAGCCATTTTTGAGAATTTTTGGGGAGAGGCGGAAAAATCGAGACACTATCTCCGATCCTTCCCTGCGGAAATTTATGACATCATTAATAACGACGAATTGCAGAGCGGCCGGCGTCACGCTGGATGCGGAATGACCGCAAATAACGTTGCATTTTTTTCAATGTTTAATATTTAACGCACGAGTCAATTTGGAAAATTTTCAACCGGCGGGAGTACTCGGAAACGGACGGACGAAATCGGGACAATTTCCCTGATCGCCCCCGGCGGAGATTCCGGACATCGAAAAGCAACGGGCAGTCGTTAATAACGCCGGATTGCGGAGTGGTCCGACAACGTCATGCCGGACGCGGAACCGGACGCGGAACGGCCGCAAATAATATTAAATTAAGCTTTACGGCCCCGGGGCCGCGCATCCCCGCCCGTATTTATTATCCCTGATTTGCGGCCGACGTGGCGGTGCATTACCGTAACCAGTAAAAAGCGATCGCCCCTAACGCACCGCGAACGCAATGCGTTGCGGCGTGCCGGAAACGCTGCGGAGAATGGACGCGGGGATTGAATCGAGCGAGGCTCAAATCCAACTAACACCGCCAATCGTGATTGCTCCCTAACAGGTTTCATTCGACGTTTCATCGCTACGTTTACAAACTCTTTTTTAATAAATATCTCTCCAATTTTTTTTTTTTTTTTTCCCAATGAACATTCCTCCGAAAAGGGGCATTCAAAATGAAAAATCGGCGAAACCGCCCAACCGGAGCGTCGCGACCATATATCGAGGTTTCGGTCGCCACATTTCACGCATTTTCCCAAAATGTGGCGAGGGGTCACCGGAGGGGGGATTTCATATTTCCAATTGGAAAGTCGATTTTCAGTTACCCTCAAAGCGCGTAACCTAATTCTCGTACGCAAATCGTGCGGTGAGTCGATCGGTCAGATATTTTTGGGGTGGAAAAAATAAAAAAAAAAGTAGTAAAATCCGTCCGGTGGTCGAACTGCGAAAGGGGTAAGAGCTTCCGGCTGGGGAGGACAAAATGGAGAACCGGCCCTCGGGGGGTTAAAGAGCTCGAATTAATATTTATATCCGCCATTGGGCGTCGCCGAGCCGCGGCGCTCCTCGCGAGATTCATTCGGAAAAGTTGAGCGCAAAACAAGTAAATTAAATCATGTCCGTGGACTCGTAAGATGGCCGGCCTCCCCCCGCCGGGGCTGCCATAGTAACGGAAATGCCACCCCCTCGGAGATGCCGAGGGAGGTTGGGGTGCTGAGAGAGACGGAGTGCCGGAGATGCCCCGGGAAAGAGGGAGAAAGAGAGAGAAAGGAGAGGAGAGCTACGAGCGGGAGGGACTTAAAAGTTTTCCACTAGTTGAGCCGGGGAACAGAAAGAAGAAGAGTTTAAGAGAGGGAAAGGAAAGTAGTAAATACAAAAAGTCGAGCGGAAAGTGGCGTGGAAAATCTCGTATCCTTCCTACCGCTTCCCCTCTTCTCGCTCGATCTCGGACGAACGATTGAAAAAAAAAGGGCGCGGTAAAAAAGCGCACTTCAAATTCACCGGTAAAGGGAGACAATCGGTTCGGACGATTTTCGCGATTTTTTCTTTTCTTCCGACCACCTTTTCCTTCGAGGGACCTTTACGATGTGCGTGCACCAGTTAACTCGGGTTGGATTTTTTATTTCCCTATGCTAGGTGTTTTTTATTTTTTCCTTCTTCAAATTATGGAAAATGAGAGACGCGATAAATAGACGCGCACAGAAATTCTCCGGTGAAGGGAGAAAATCGCATAGGCCTTCGCGATTTTTCACCTCACTCTTTTTCCTGCACTTTAAGGAACTCTCAAACGTGCGTGTACCGGCTCCCTCGAGTTGCGGATTTTATTATCGGGTGCTTGGCACTAGTTCGCGTACAACTCCCGATTTGCGAAATTCCATCGACTACAAAGCCCGCGTCCAGAGAGGGCGGCAGAAATAAACGGGGGTAAATGTAAAAAGTGGAGCGCGTCGAAAGGGTGGAAGAAAATCTTAAGCCGGGCCATTCTCTCTCCCGTTTTTCTCCCCGGCCTGTCGGTACTCGTTACCTTTCCCCTTTCTCCAGGGCTGAAGAGAACAGGCATAGAAATGAAACGGCCAGGACCCAACGGGGTGAAACTCGGCCAAAGCTTAAACTGTCCAGCCCCGCTACTTAACTCGGCCCGGTGTCGCGGATATTTGTACGGATTAAATTCCAACCCTTAAAACTTGGCGGCCCTCCCTCGGCAAATTACTTGTTTCGCTGAATTCTAGCCCGTAAACCCTCCCAAAAGGCGAAACGACTTCGGCCGAGAATCCTCTTAAGGAGACTTTACGTGGATGTAGCGACGTGTGCTCGCCCCAATGCCCCGGTGGGGAAATCGCCCCCAAAGGAGATAATTTCCGGCTTTTCGTCAATATCTTCTCCCTCCCATGAAATATCACTCAACCACAGAGCTAATAAATCGCAAATTCCAACATCACGATACAAAAATTGAAATTGGTCATACTTCAGTTCATAAAAAGTCACTACGCGAAAGATATCGGTTAAGTCAGAAATCGGAAAGGGGATAATTTTCGCCTTTTTGTCAATTTCTCCCCACCCCTGTAAAAATCACTCGCAGAATTAACGAAGCACAAATTCCAATGTCGATTCACGTGAATTCGAATTGGTTACCCTTCCTAATTCCTAAAATTGCGCGTCTCTGACAAAATGGCCGCGCGAAAGAAATCAGGACTTCGCTCGGTTAATTCGACTAACGAAGAGGGTAATTGTCAACGTAATGAAAGTCGAAGGGCGATAGTTAGGAAGTCGAAGATGTGGACTTGAAGGAGGAGTCGAAGTCGCCAAGTTTTACCCCCCCCCCCCCCCCCAGGGGGAGCTCATCCATAATTCTCAGCGGATCGCGAGATGCGAAACTTGGCGAATTCTCGTGGACTCCTCGATGCATACCGGCGAACTCTTAATTTCATTGATTTTCCATCGTAATCACCGCGTCGAGTAATCAGGGGAGTAATTGTTTAACAAAATCAGGTCTAACTTTGATGTTCTCCCTGTCTGAATGGCGGAGCTGTCAGAAGTTTGCAGAAATTCCAGGGTGATAAGATGTTATTAAAGTGTCATACGTAGATATATGAAAAAGTGAAAATATTAATACAATTTTTTCTGTAAACAGAGTGCATCGAATAATTTGAAACTTTGACACGTAATTATGGATGGGTATAACTAGGATTTTGATTGCCCCGGTGAAGTAATGATTTCCTTTTCTTTTTTGTTGGCGATATAACGAAATTGTTGCTGGCCCATTTTCGGGTGTTCACGTTTGTTGCGGCAAGTAAAAGTCTCTTGTTACGGCTGGTAACCCTTTTCCCTTTTTGTGCAAAGGAGTGGCGCAAAGACTCTCGAGGTCTTTGCGAGGCGAGACACGAGCCCGGGGGCTGCGACCACGTGGACGACTTCATTTCGGGAACATAATTTCCCCTCGTAACTCACCCCTAGCGCCAGAGCTCGGGGACATAATTCACCCCGAAACTGTTACCAGATGGGTGTACACGGGAGGAAACGCCGAGAGATGGTCCCAAGGACGGCCCTGAGACTTCCGAACTCCACCCGGGGCGAACCTTCTTTTTCCACCCCCAAGGGTAGCTCCATTCTTCGAGTTAATCTCGGCCGGGAAGTTGGAATACCCGGGAGAAAGGCATTAATTACGACATGCAGCCCGGGTGCATTATCAGGGCCCACTTTTAGGCGCGACCTGGAAGAGAGCGAGTTATCGCTCAGTCGAACTCTGCGCCGAGATTTATTGGGACGCCCGTGCAAAGGGTCGGAATAATGGCCGCCCCTAACCCAGTTCCTCTTCTGAAAGGAGCCCGACCACTCGGAATCATTTTTGAGACGGCTCTCTATTTACTCGCCCCACGGGCGGAATTTAATAAACGGAGTACAAACAATTTTAATATTACATCCTGTATGGATGTTTTAATATTCCCAGACCCGCCCTCTGGGATCGGCTGCTTCTCCATCCCTTATCGCATCCCTTATCACGCCATTAATAAAATTCCACAAATGGCACGGAACTTAAATCTCATCCTTTCTAAGCATAACTGCCTTTCCCTCCCTTCAATTCCTTCACTGGGAACAGAATTCCATCGAAGAAAAGAAATATTTCTTTGAATGCTACCAAAGAAATAGGTTGTTAATTTATGA